GTTAATGAATCCATTTTTACATTCAAAGTTAGTCCCTGGTTTTTTTCTAAAAAGTTTGTTTTTTTGTTAAAATCTCTTAAGAGATTTTAACAGAGTATAGACATCAATGGAGGTCACGTGGTCTAAAGACAAGTTCAGATATCAGAATAAAAGCTATAACTGCTGTTTTGTGGTAAAACAGAATATATTATATTTCTATGAGTTATTCACAAGGTTTTATTGTGAAATATAGATATCATACGAAGAGTTATTATCCCTTTAATGTGTGCATACTGAGCAACAATATCTTTAAGCAGGGCTAAAACACTTAAACAGCCTCCAGCATATGAAACAATGGAACAAAAAATTCATACAATGAACGCTTAAAGGATAAAACAGTTATTCTGAAATTCACCAACAAATCGACATCTTTGTGGCCCTCCCTTCCCCTTCCCCAGAGTAAAGAAAAATAAAAACAACAATAAATTAAATTAAAAACAACACTTTTCCAAATAAAAAACAAAATATAATAGCACCAAAAAGAATCAAACTTTATATTATTTAGGAAAATGAGACTATATGATGTTTCACCAGAGGTATCTTCACCTGGAATTACCTTAATATAATATTATTTACAAATCCAAATGATAGCTTACACAAAAGCAATTTGAACATGATGGTACACATCATACACATCATACACACTTTGAAGTGATACAAAAGGTAGCATTATAATTTTTAATCATTATCGCTTTTTCCCTATATGATCCACTGTTAATATTTAGTTTTCATCTGTGTTGTTTTTTCTGAACCATATCAATCAAACAGAAAATAGATATGCCAAGTAATCATAATATAGCAACAGAACTTTCCACAGTGACTGCAGAAAAGACACAGCTGCAAAACGTACATCAAACATGGCATCAGGGTATTAACAACAGAGAACTGTGATACATACAGATTGGTTTCAACATATGGAACTTCCCTGATCATTTCACACTGATAAAGCTAACTGGTGTATCACCTTGCGTGGCCTTACAAATACTGGTACATGCCCACTCAAATCTTATATGAACTAGTATTTTTTTTAATAATTTGGTATAACTATTTGGCAAACCTTTTAAACTTTGTTGTCTACTTTTCTTACATCACTCACAATCATTCAGAACTATCATAAAGTACCTTGGTACTAGCACTAGCAGCTCCAACTGTTTTAATATAACATTAACATTAAAGGTTCACAAATAGAGCAACCAAATCCGTGCAGTTATGGCAGGATACACCTTTATTTTCATCCAAGGTAAAAAACACTTACTGAAATACTGTCACGAAATCAATTATTTCTGTAAACGATCCCAATGTAACTGTAAAAATAACTCCCAAAATTACATCATCTTTGTTGATAAACATACAAACTTGCCAGGAGGCAGGGTGATCTATTGGTTAGATGGTATTTACACATATTGTACATGCTAGTCATTACACAGACCACAACAAACATGCATATACCCACTGCAGGTATGCTGGGGAAGAAAATAGAAAGAAGCAAAGCTTACACGACCTCATATATTACCGGATCCAAACAGGGGACAGCCGGAGCTTCAGTGGACACCCCTGTGTCAGGTACAATAGTTTCTTCCACTGGAGGGGCTTCTCCATTCTGTCCATCAGATTTCTCCTCAGGCTTCTTCTCTGGGGCAGCATCAGGGGTGTCCTGCATTTTGGGAGCGGCCTGCTGACGTCTTCTGGGACTTTCTTGGCCTAAAGGTAGGGATTTAGCTCCAAAGGCATCTGGCACAAACCCAAACATACTATTCTTCACTCTGGCAGGGCTCTTGTGAGGTGAGGGAGATGCCATGCTGTCTGTCTAGGTCTGGTGGGTGATATATTAGGGCTGGTATACAGAGAGCTTCAGAATTAACTACAGTGACTTTTTCCTTACACAGTGCCTCCCCAACACCTTATAATGCTTTGCTGTTCTACTCAATCAATCCCTGACATTCAGGTCCAGATGGCATCCCCAAGAAGACAGGCAAGGCTAGGGTGGTAGTGGTGGAGTTCTGTGGCAGCTGATCACTAATACCAGGCTAGAGTCAATGAAATTACTGATCTAATCTGGCACTAACAGTGAGAGAGACAGTCTGCTCAGCTGTAACACGAGGGGAACACATGGAACTCTGGGAAGTCTGTTGCTCACCGCCCATCATCCCAGGAGATACTGATATTGGAAATTCATTGCCAGGGCCCTGGCTTGCTGCTGCACAAAGCCATTGTCATTTATTGATTGCCAGCTGCATAAAATAATGAGCAAACTGTAATGCCAATCTAACCTTTGTATTTTCCAATTAAACGAGGGAAATTACCTGAAACATTTGATTAATTTTTTTTCTTCATCAGCTTAAGGCAGACAGCCATAAATGTAATGCATGTGCAACTATAGAAGAAAGATCAAAATAATGTACAAAAACCAACAATTCCCTCTGTCAATTATAACGGCGGGAATAACTGTCTGGTAGTGTAATAATATTGATTTTTCCTGAGTCATAGCCTGTCTGTCTCATGGCTTGTTTCTGTGAATTAATACAAGGGTTTCTAGTTCCTGCCGTCAGCAATCCCTAATGTAAAAATCTTAAAAATAAGAAATAGCTTTATTATACAACATGCATATCATGTTCCAAGAGGACCATATGAAGGCAACATCTTTCTGACTTGAGATATAAATTTTCTTCTTTCTTACCAGTAATTTCATGTAGTCAAAGTGTAAAAATTCGTGATACTCAATTTTTTATGCTTTTAGGCAAAATACATAATTTTGTTATTGATTTCTGCTTAAAAGTCTTTTCTTATGAGTCATTCCAGCATTAATGTGACACATGATAAAAATGAAAAAATTATATGATTAAAGTGTTTTAAAACATTTAACAGCATTTAATGTATCGCATGATACAGTGAATAAAATACTGCACAATCAGAATGTTTTAAAACATTATTCATGAATGAAACTTAATCTGCACATTGAAAAGTAGAAACACACTATGCAGAAATAAGTACTTTGAAGCATCTTCAATGAAGCAGCTTTTCTAAACAATGTAAAAATGTTGTAGAATTTATCAGATTTTTCATGACAATTACATTTCATACTTAACAATACTATGAATGGTTTAGCATTAAAATTAATAATGATGATACAAGATATGTAAGCCCAAGGTCCTCAAACATGTGGGTCTAGGAGCATTACATATATAACGCCAATCTAACCTTTGTAGGATATATATATATATATATATCCAAGGAGAAAATTGGAGACAGACAGAACTCTTCCTTTCTGTTTTTTCGAGAAATTATCATTATAGTAATAATGGTATGCTGCTGACATCTTTTGGTGAAACATTGAACTAACCATATAAACAATCATATTATGTGGAAGATGACTAGAGGGCTAGGGGTAAAACACTGAACTAAAACCTCGTTCTGATAAAATGGCAATCTTCATTATACTATACCCCAAAGTTAAGAACAAGAACAAGTGCTGATAAATGGATGATTTTTAGTTTACTGGCTTAATTCAAAATTGATAAAAAAAAAAAGGAAGCAAATACTTCACTTAAAAAACTAATAACTAGAAAAGCACTCAGAGAGAGCAACCTCCCCCAAGACAAATAAGTTACTTATTATTATCCATTAAATGATAAATTATCATCAAAATCTAATAATTTCTTTCTTGGCTCTTTGTGATATATCACAAATGAAAATTCAATCAATTAATTGAATGACTAATTAAATAATTATAAAATTAATTAAGTAATCAATGGATCATCACCAAAATTTAATCATGTCCTCGGCCTGATTCTAGGACAATTCCCCTCCCCGGACAATTCCCCCCCAGGACAATTCCCCCCCAGACGATTCCCCCCCCAAGAAATATATATTTATATACAAATATAAAGTACTAGTAGAAAGTGTAAAGTTAAAAAACATTTCTTCCTTTTTATTGATATTTTTAGTGTGAAAATACAACTTCATCATGAAACAAATTATTTTATAACAAATTCCTTTTTCATTGAGTACAAGTACAGAAAGATTTATTAAATATCTAATCAAAGTATAACCACCTATCCTTCAGGTTAAGGTGGGGTAAACAGATGAACAGGTAAACAGATATTTTATGAATATTTTAGTGTGGTGGGTGGTGGGTAGTTGTCAAGCAACTGAAAGTGACAAATAGTCAAAGGGATACCTGGATACTAGTAAGCGAGAAAATCTGTTTACCCCACATCTTTCTAGAGGTGACCTTGATTCAAGACTTACTCAATCAAGGGGGTGGGGGGGAGGTAATAAAACAATTAAAAGTAACAGTTAATTCATCAAAGGGCTACCTGAATGAATGAGAACATCTGTTTACCCTCCTTTACCTGGAGATAAACTTTGATCAGATTTTTATTAAAATGTTCCGTACTTCTATCTTGAAAATTTTATGTACTTGTACTCCATGAAAGTAATTTGTATAATGAAATTAATATTATTTATCCTCCAATTGCATCATCACACTAAGAAATATTCAGAAAATGGATGAAAAGATTTGAACTTTGTACTCTTTACTTTATATTTGTATATAAATTAATATATTATTCAGGGGGGGGGGGGGGGGGAAGAATCGTCCGGGGGGGAATTGTCCGGGGGGAATAGTCCGGGGGGGGGGGGGAATTGTCCTGATACCCCTCGGCCTATATGTGACCTATTGTGAAAAGGTCATCAAAATTGTATTATGTTCTCCACAGAAAAATAACCCACAAACTAATAGTAACAAAAATAAAAAAATATCCTAGTTGAAGGTAATAAAATTAAAAGAAATGCATCCATTCCTGGTTAAAATCCACACCAAGGCACATCTTTTAAATATCAATTTAAAAGATGTTAAAACTTAACCTTACATTCTATGCATATTATCATTTTATTCAAATTATTCATGTATAGTATTGATGTAACATATAAGTCTGTCTAAAAAGTTGAATAAGTGAGGAATAAAGTCTAGGGCTAATCTTTAAAGTTTATAAAAACACATGCTTCTCTTTTTTACTCAGCAACTGGCTTGTTAACAGAGCATCCCAGTAAATAACCATTAACATAACAGTAATCTGCTTATAGACAAAATCACATATTTTAATCAGTTATGGCAAGAGCATATGTAATTATAGCTTTTCTTCTTTTAAGAAAAAAAATGAATGGGTAACTATCATGGTTGGTGAAGCTCAGAGGATTCAAGTTCTCAAAATTGTCTACAAGAATTTCAAGCTCTGCGTTGTGTCCATAGAACCCTATAGTTGGGGCTAGTTGTGCATCAGATTTTACAGATTCATCAGATTTTACCCATTGTTACATTGTGTGTTGCTTCTCAACTACTGCATTGGGTTTACACATGACTACATGCAATCTGATTTTTGGTACTGTTGACCATCTTTGGGAGGTCAAAACTAAGGAGAAACTTTCAAATGGATTTTTTTCAAAAGTCAACAAAGGGTAGCAATACCAAATAAATCTATACCATATACAGAATAAAGATTAAGACTTTTATTAAGCATGTCATTTTCTTTTTTTTTTTTTTTTTTTGAAATTTGAGGAAATGTCTTTTGATATAATCTGTTATCCCCCTTAAAGCCAGTGTTAGGAGGCCAAGTTCTGCTGCATATATGATTTCGAAAATACAATTTATATCAATTTGTATTTCTCATATGCTGCATGTGGGTCTGTCCACCAAAATTAATTTACTTGGCCTGTTTTACATCATTCTTGTTCGCATGCATATATTTCTCAGCTTTAAGAAAACACATAAACAAAAATTTCCAAAAACGAGTAAACAAAATTTCAACACTGTTTGAAAATTTTAACCTTCCTGAAAATCAAGATGGGCATGCAGCCTTTCATTTTTTAATGGCATCTTGACAACAAGGTGTCATCACGCTCGGCTGTCACCTTGATTGGATAGTAAACGATTGTCGTAAAATCGCTAAATGATATTAAAACCGGGTGCATAAACTTGAAAACCACCTACAACAACCTTGGACTACCACATTAATCCAATACAATGCAAAAATAAACTATAACAAGTGGTTAAAGCCTTCAAACCGAATGTCGTAAAGTCCCCATATACCTCCATAGAGACAATAAAATAGAATGAGCTTCTGAAACAAACCGTATCCAGTTCCAACAGAATAATCGAAATAAAATACTGCCGGGCATCGGAGCGGCCTAAAACTTGGCACGCTTACCGCTAATACTGCAGGCTACATCATCCCGTCGCTCGTTTGTAAATTCCGTGCATGGCATACGCACAATCAAACCGTAAAAAACAAATTCTCGGGGTGTCGTTGGCCAGGTCCACTCTAACCTACCATTACGAAAAAGAAGCCATGCCATTGGACAATGCGACCTCTGCGGTTACGTCATTTCCTGAATTGGATTGTTGCGTGGACCTAGCCAACGACACCCCGAGAATTTGTTTTTTACGGTTTGATTGTGCGTATGCCATGCACGGAATTTACAAACGAGCGACGGGATGATGTAGCCTGCAGTATTAGCGGTAAGCGTGCCAAGTTTTAGGCCGCTCCGATGCCCGGCAGTATTTTATTTCGATTATTCTGTTGGAACTGGATCAGGTTTGTTTCAGAAGCTCATTCTATTTTATTGTCTCTATGGAGGTATATGGGGACTTTACGACATTCGGTTTGAAGGCTTTAACCACTTGTTATAGTTTATTTTTGCATTGTATTGGATTAATGTGGTAGTCCAAGGTTGTTGTAGGTGGTTTTCAAGTTTATGCACCCGGTTTTAATATCATTTAGCGATTTTACGACAATCGTTTACTATCCAATCAAGGTGACAGCCGAGCGTGGGTGTCATCAAAACATTGACAAACTGTATTTTATGTAAATGAGGTACTAGTAACTAGTAATTCAAATGGTTCATTCAAATTCAGACATGTGGCTATCTGAACACCAACTTTAAATCCCCAAAATTGTTAGAAAAACAAAAAAAAAATGCGGAATTATATATTAAATACATACAGAAGTTTGTAAAAAGAGAAGTGACTGATCATAGACAAAATTGTAACCACTTCGACGAACGTTAAGGCAAATATTTACACCTACGTCATCACCAGATTCCATTTCGTAACGTGTACCTCCACTAGGCGTCGTCAACTGGATTTTCGAGACCGTACTTCGAGCTGATCTGTCCCTGTGTTGGTGATAAAAATATTTGTACTTCCCGCTGTTGCCAAAAACGGGTAAGCAGATTTGCCGACAAAATACTATGCGATCAAAAAATGAATTCGGTATATCATAGTCTTTCCATGCATAACATATGAAATTTTGATATATAAATGCTTCGAAAAAAACACACGACAAGATTAACCAATCTAGAATTTCAGGAAGTATTGGATGCCGAAAACCGTATCTTCCTTTTCAACGTGTCGTCCATCTTGATACAAGGTAAGCGTTGAGATCGGCAGAAATATCCACCCAAATCGTATACTTTTAACAGCAATCTGCATTTTTTCACAAATTAATATTAAAGTGCATTATGCTTTCTTTTTTATTTTTTATTTATAACTTAAGATGATTATTGAAATATCACAGAAAGGTTCAAGATATTAATGCCTGTTTTAGATCCAGGTTGGAGAGGCAGAAGACTTGTTAACTGTCAAGCAATTTTTGTTTTAATTATGCAATTGTGGTTGTAGGTGAACTTTTTGCGTGGCAAAACGCTAATTGCATGATTTTAATTTTCAGATCTAGACGACGAATCGACAATGGGTGCATACAAGTACATGCAAGAGTTGTACCGCAAGAAGCAGAGTGACGTGCTTCGTTTCTTGCTGAGAGTACGATGTTGGCAATATCGTCAGCTGTCTGCCATCCATCGTGTACCAAGACCATCTCGCCCAGACAAGGCCAGGCGCATGGGTTACAAAGCCAAGCAAGGTAAAATTATTTATCTCCACAGGTTGTCAGATTAGTAGGGTGTGACTGTGACAGCAACCTGATGGACTGCTCTCTTATTTTGTTGCTTGAAAATAAAAGGATGTAGTATTTGTGTGTATGTCAGTCAAATTGCAATATCTTAACACTGTGAAGTGGATTAATGTTGATGTGTTCTAGAAATAATGTAATTGCTTTAAAATACAGATTGTTAGTTGATATTATTTCATCTCTCTGGTCTTTAAAGCAACAATTTATTACCTTTTTAGGGTATGTAATCTACCGTATCCGTCTGCGCCGTGGTGGCCGTAAACGCCCAGTAGAAAAGGGATGCACATATGGCAAGCCTAAGACCCATGGTGTAAACGAACTGAAGTTTGCAAGACGCCTGCAATCAGTTGCTGAGGTATGTCTTATACTTTATAATCAACAAATTAGTTAAAGAAGTTGAACAGCAAAGGTGTTGTATGCTCTAAAAGTAGAAGATGGTGTTTCAAACAAAAACTACAACAAAGGTATAAACATTCAAAGTTTGTAATTGGCTAATGAATAGATATAGTCACAAAAACATTACACACACTTTAAATTGCACCTAAACATATAATGTTCACAGAGGCAACTTGGTATATAAGTGTGCTTCCTTTCATTACAGGAGCGTGTTGGAAAGCGTTGTGGAGGTCTGCGAGTGCTGAACTCGTACTGGGTGGCTCAGGACTCCACATACAAGTACTATGAGGTTATTCTTGTGGATCCATTCCACAAGGCCATCCGCCGCAATCCAGACACCCAATGGATTTGCAAGCCAGTCCACAAGCACCGCGAGATGCGTGGACTCACTTCAGCAGGCAAGAGATCCCGTGGGTTGGGCAAGGGTCACAAGTTCCACAAGACCATTGGTGGATCTGTTCGTGCCAACTGGAAGCGACAGAATACGCTCTCCTTGACCAGGAAGCGCTAAAAATTTTTTTTTCATTATTTTGTCCTCTATACTTTTACAAAACGAACTTGGTGAAATAAAATAAATTACAGTGAAGTAAAAACATTTTTCTTATTTATTGTGTGACTGTAAGCAAACTTAGTGCACATGTAAACAGTTCAGAATTCCTCAAATGTTTAGATGACAAACCATTGATGATAAAATTCTACCATACAAAAGGAGAAAAACTTTAAAAAGAGTTGGTTTTAAAAAAATATCAAATGTTTATCGATGAATGTTTGCTGCCAAGTTGGTTGTGAGTTGGTTCAATTTTGGCACCCCGACATCGGTGAGATATATTTTAAATTTTTTCTGATCAATGGAAAACTTTCTTATTCAATATTTATTTCAAAATGTTTTATTATTTTAATTTTTAGAAGCTTTATTTGGGTTGAAACGTATTTTAGTGCTAGAGTGTTACTATTGCGCCTACACTGGAATATTGTAGTCTAATTTAATTCATGGGGCACAATGTGAATTAACCTAACCAATATGGGTGTGCAAACAAAGTGTTTAATTTCAAAAGAAACTCAAATAAGTAAGTCTACAAGATCAATAACTAGACTGGATTAGACCAAAGGTGATCGAAGGATCCGTTTATTTTTTATGGTCTGTCTGGTAGTTTCCATCGCTAAAACCTTTGTGGTGAAGCGGATTTTATGCCATATTTTACTTGATATTACTTTATGATCATTTTTACAGATTAGCATTTTGTCTTGAATCAAATTTAGTACGTCTAATGGGACAACAGGTGAAAAAAAAGATAGTGGAGGTCCCACCGAGATTTGAACTCGGATCGCTGGATTCAAAGTCCAGAGTGCTAACCATTACACCATGGGACCGCTGTTGGCGAGAGGGGGCGTTTTATGCAATAAGAAAGAAAGGCTGCCACATGACTAAGTGCAGAGGCCACGTGATATTGTTGATTCTAACCAATGAAAATGTCTTAAATATTCACCGTTATCCTTAACAATATGGCGCTGTACATAAAAAAATTATAATTTTTGATTACTTTTGAGTCAGTGCCGGGTATTTACTCACTTGTTTAGTAGACGATCAAAAATATCTCCACAACGGAGGAAAGCCAAAGAAGTCGGGTTGTGCTTGTAGGTATGTGAAATCTATAGATACCAACAGCTGAAATGTTCGGCGTCTGTTTTGATTTGTCAAATGACTAAAAAAATAAAAACAAAGGGTTTGAAGAAAATGAAGAAAAAGTTTAATGTTATAATTAGAGAAGTAGAATAGACTATACTCATTGCATGCTTTTTTAAGTAAATTATAGCATTGTTTTAGATGGCATAACTTTACCTTGGTGGTGATCTCTATTTCTTTGCAGAGTTTATGGATTACACGCTCGGCTGTCACCTCAAATTGTTCAGTGAAACTCAAACCCATAAAACAACTTAAGAACACCACACAAGTTTACCATAGTGAAAAAAAAACGATCAAAATCGATATGATATTTTTCAGGTAATTTCATAAAGTGGCCACATAAACCCCATACTCCATAGAGTCTACAAAATAATGACAGCTTCAATGAAAATTGAATAAAGATACAGACAGACAAATCGTTCTCAAACCAAGTTTGTCGTCCTTTAGATGTTAAACCATCCCATTCTTCATTTGTACACTGAACAAGATTTTGCATGAAATCAACAATTGAAGTAAAAAGTGCACTTCTTTTTTATCAGGTGTGTTTCTATTTCTGAAGCTTACATTATTATTATAAAACAATTTTTATTTATTTATTATTTTACTTTGGTACACTAGAATGGTATCCTGACGTTGTTTTATGTGATTTTAAGGTTCAATTACCAATCCAGGGGATGGCTGGGTTGGAATAATATTAAATGGTATTGCTATTTACTACTACTACTACTACTACTACTACTACTCCTACTACTACTGGTAGTGGTTTGGAAATTTCATGCATTAGCACTCGACTGCTATTTATCTTTATTGATATGGACTAATTGTGCAAATGCATAAAAGAAAATGTGCAAATAATTATAAAATTACAACCAGCAAGCACTTAAACTCCATTTTGTATAATTTAAAAAAAACCATCTTTTTGTCCAAAATTCTGCATCGTCTTATCCAGTAAGTTATCATTAACGGCTATCTTTTTTCTAGGGTGGGGGGAGAGGAGTTAATGCATCTTGCAGTGCCTTAAACTTCCTCTTTTGACTCCTTTTTCAAGTTTCAGTAATAACAATGAAAATAAATCAAAAGGAACTTTTCTAATATAAACTCATATCCAATTATGCCACTTTTGTCCAAGTCGTGTTGCCACATCTGTAGCTAAATCCTCTCTGACTACAGGGTGCACTAGTAGTCTGTTACAAAATTATTGTATGCTACATTTTTATTTTGTGTACTGTTTGAGAAGCCCCTGTTATCAGTGGGTAAGAAAATCCACTATTGGATGATCAGGGCTCCGTAACTCGAAAACATCGCGAATTGAAATAGCGATATCACCTTTCATTTTGAGGCTATTACATGGGGCGAGTATATGCCGAGTTATGGAATAGAGACACTTGCACTTGGTTACAATTTGCAATGCTTTTAGTTACGGAGCCCAGATCGGCTTTGGCAAAATGGCAATATCAGTGCTAGTTAATGTTCCTAAAAATTACCTCTGTGCAAAGATGTATGGGGCACCTTTTGATGGAATCTTAGTGACATGATGTAGATCTATGTGATGGACTGCATCCCCAAAATACACAGAATTACTATAACACTTTAACCATATTTTCACTGTGAAAGTTGTCATGTTTTACTGGTCAGATATTTTGTAAATTGACGGCTGTCTTTTATACGAGCAGTAACTGTTATCTAGTTATGTAGTGCTCATGATTTGCTGTGAATTATGCTGTCTTTAGCACAAATAAACTGAAGACACATTTTCAGCAAAGTAAGGTCTGCCAAACTTGGTTTGACCCATCCCAGCCGCAGCAGCCTGTCTGTTTACGATAAGTGAGGCTTTGCCTGGAAACTTGCCTTCAGAGTGCCATTATAGCTGTGTCCACTATTGGAAGTATTATAGAACAGAAGTTGGGTGAAAGAATGAGTGAACATACTATTTTGAAATTGTAGCACATGCCGATATCCCAGTAACAGTTGGTTATCTCTAGAGAGATCTCAAATTATATGTTTGATCAAATAACTCTCGTTGATAGTGCCAGTGAAAACCGCTTAAGTCATTGGCTTGCTGTGTATATTTTGATTCATGAGAACCCATTTACATAGTGTTCATTTATGGAAATAGAGATGTGAAATAGAGTTAATTGTTAAATCAAAATTGAATTGCAGAAATTAGTTGCCAGTACTAGTAAATGAAAATGCTTGCTGAAATACTTACTGTTATAGATATTTTTTGCCATGTATGTATGAAACTGTGAACTTTTGTGACCTTGCCCACCCAGTGCAATCAAATAATTAAAATTCTAGATTTGCTTACATCAAAGATATTGGTATTGATTTTATGTGCTGTCACCTTTTCTCTTGGGATGATTTAAAAGAAAGCTCTTAAAGTTTTTAGCTGATTATGATGTTTCACATCATTTTGCTCAATAAACATTTAGCAAATTTGGTTTTTTGATAAAAGATTTATATATTCTAGGTAAATTAAATGGATTATGAGGGGTAACTTTTGTTAAATTTGCCGTTGGTTGCAACTCTTTAAATGTTAATTGTAAATGTATTGGCTGAAAAATACTGCTTTGTTGTTTGATAGTTCAAGTACATTCAAATGCAAGCTGCATTGACAGGATCCATGGTGCTTACAGAGGCATTGTATTAGTGGTGATATGATTATTTATGAAAAGCACCTGTAAATCTCTGGCACATACAGTGCTTACTCATACTTCTTTCTTTTATGTGATGGGAAAACAAAGGATGTTTGAAAATTGATATCTTCTTCCAATCTGCACAGTTTTGAACGCCAATTTAGTCTGTAGAGATTAGAGCACACAATTATTATATTGGATCACTGCAGCTCTATATAATGCAATATGAACAGTTTTATAGATTTTTACCAGGGCATTGTGAACATTGTTTCTGTCAGCTTGTGCTGTACTAGTGTTTACTTTTTATCTGCCTCCTGCTGTAATGGCAACCATCGTGCTAGCATAACATTACACCAATTTGGATATTGTATTTTTGATAGACCCAATGGCGTGGCATGTTTATATCCACAGACTAATTCAATTGATCTGTTCTTAAATGCCCACTGGCTTGTAGCAAAGTCATGTGCAGTTTCCCATTACCATATATAGATGAAGATGCTCTTGATTGCTATTGGGAATGTGTCACACACTTTAAATGGTACCAAACAAGAGGGCAGGGATCAGGCTTTAGATGGACAAGGTTAGTTCACAGAGTATAATCAGAATAAATCATAGAACTGTACATTTAAACATTGCAGCAACGTTGGTTGAATTTATGTGTTAATAGAAAGGCAAGTTCACTACATAGCAATGATCACATACTAGTATTTAATGTCGTGGCAAGACAAAGAAAAGATAAGGATATCGTTCTTTTCATAGGTGACGATATTGATCAATTGGAGATTAGGTAACAATCAAACCCGCATCTATATTGTGGCAAAAAGCTAACCTTAGTTCACTGGCATGGTCAGGTTGTTGCATAAAGATCTTGGGAGTTGCCAATAAGAATGGAAGGTATTAGCTGGTAATTTAAGTCACCTGAAACAGCACATAAGCTTCAGTTAAGCAGCTAAATCATTTAGGACCTTATATTGAACTGGAGCAATCCAGACAAATAGGCAATGGATTATCAGACTGATGGTAAGTTGCATGTCTAGGAAAGTGACAGGCATACCAAGTATGTAGCATTTTTATGGTTGAAATACTGTTATTTACCTAGTTGATTTAGCATACTACTCTGTGGTTTGGTCAAACGGGATATACGTAATTGAATATGAAAATCTGTAACTATCAGATAATCATAGGACCAGTCTGTGAAAAGGATACAATACATGAGATTGATAGCTTCCTTTATGTTTCTTGCATACATGTAGGCATCAGTTACTGATGAGAAGAGATGATATTATTGTCATGCAGAATACTCAGAGTATTGAGCTGCACATAGTGTATCTTTTGTACTGTTATGCAGATATTTTTAATGAAAACAGTTTTTTTCTTCATTTTTTATTTCCCTGAGGGCAGAAAAGAAAGCCTAAGTGCTTTATGCATTCATTTGAAAATTTCCTAAAAGAAAAACAATCTCAAGACAGTGTACTAGACTGATGATTAATAAAAGTCAGATGTATAAAACATGTAAAAATCAATTTTAGATCATCGTTATGTAAACTTGAATATATAGCATGGCCAATAAAAGCACTTTTAGGTGTTTGTGCAATATTTTGTTTCCACTATATTTACTGTCTGTCATAACTGATAGGGAAAGGAGAGAAGCTAAAGAAGACAAATAATAAAGAAAAACCATTGACTACCATCCCTTTTTGTTTCTACTCACTTTTCAATATTCAGTGTATTTCCTTATTTGATGATAACTTATTTAGTATGTTGGTATTTAAGTGATATATTCAATTATGACTCCACCTTTTCAAAGGGCAAAAATCATTAATCTTTGAGATACATATTTTTAAGATCATAAATATTATATTTCTGTAAATCCTTTGTTATGCTTTTACTGCTTAGAATGTAACTATAGTAACCTGTTTTTCACTGTTGTTTGCTGTTCACTTTTATTTAAAAAAAAACTATGACTTAAGAAATACTGTATCTGTAAAATTCACAATTTGCCCCATTGAAAAGATCGAGTAATTACTGATATATATATATTTTAAACATTGCAGAAATTCTTTAACACATTTAGTTTATGTCCAAAATATTAACTAACCAAATTTAATCCAAAAATGACAGAATTATTCAATTATTTAATTTTTATTTGATTGTTTTTGAAATATATTACATTGTTTGCCTTAGGCAAAGTAGACTCACAGTTAAGTAACCTTTTCCCCCATTTTGCAAAAACAAAAAATAAATAAATAAAATAAGAAGAAGAAAGAAGGAAAACTGTCGAATGTGGCTTTTTGCAAGACACAGTATATAGACTGGATTTTAAACAGAAAAATGGGGATTTGCCTCTGTTATTAGAATATCATTAGAAGAGAAGAGTGATATCTAGTTATGTTTTTGTTTAAAAGAAAGCAATGAAAATATTTAGAGAACAGCTTTAGAATGAAAAAATCATATTTTAAGTATTTCATGTTACATAGGGAGAACTTTCTTTTCATGCATTTGGTTCATGTGCCCTATGGGTAATGAGAATTGATAGAAGCTGCCACATTACAGGCTTGTGATATGGTAAATTTCTCTTTATTATGCAACTATTTATTTCAATTATCCTCCCATTTGTGCAGAATCAAGAACAGATGCAGGGGTAATGTTAATCATGATCCTATTATACAGTAGGTGGTGATAACCAAGGTTTTTACCTTGTCTTTTCGCATCTTCTGATTTCACTGAGAGTTTGTATAAGACATACGTACCATCAATGTTTTCTGCCTTCATGATATTAGAATACTGAGGAACTCCTCCTCAGCATCTCCCAAAGAAAGAACTATGTTTTAAAAATAATACCTTTGGCTGGTCATTATTGTGGCATAATAATTATTATTTTTAAATATATTTACCTCCATATTAATGTGGGTTGCTAACTTATTCACTATGTGAAGTATTTGTTGAAGTGATTGTTTTGTAAATATAGTACTTAGGGTCTGTTTTACATGCTGTGGTTTGTGCCTAAAGCATGAATTTCTAAGTATTGAATCATCGAGTACTGGTTGAAATGATGCATTAATTATTAGATAGGGATGTACCAGTAGTCTGTTGTATTATTAATCCCCTTTCTGTACTCCATTTTGATTCATAAATAATTATGCTATTCATGTTTTGTTTTGTTTTGTTTTATATATATTGTACAATTTCTGGAAAATGTTGCAAAGGATAATTATTGTTGAATTAAAAATCAGAACAATAAATTATATTTTGAAGTTGATTCTACTGCATTTCTGAACTTGATATTTACCCCAATGCAAATCTAGGACAAATAAACTAATCTTGCTTACATTGACCAAAATTACATATACATAAAGGAGTTAATCACAAAAATAAGCAGAAAGCCATTATGAAAATGGGTTGGACCAAGTGCATCTCACATTATTGATCAAAACTTGAAGATCACATAAGTAGGTCAGGCATGCCACCAAGTGAGAGAGAGAGCACGCCTAGCTGGCTTAAGCTTATGATGGATGGCTTAAAGGGGCCTGAGAATGTCAGGTGATGCAGTTTGTTAGTGAAAAAAAGGGTACAGGAATAGACTACCTAATCATCCAACATGGTAAATAGAGTAGCGAACATGACCTCTGCTGGCAAATCCCAGTCTTACAGGAGAACTGCAGCTGTGCCGGCAGATCAATACCTGCACAAACTCCAGAAGATGAGTCGGATTGTACTGCAAGTAGACCAGTTTAGAAATTCCATTGACTTTGCTTATAGACATGACGGTCTGGATATTTCTTTGATGCTGAAAATGTTTCATAAAATCTCAAGCGGAGTTGGAAAAATTACGAGTCGGAAGGTGATTGTTTTCACCTTCTTATTAGATAATTCATCTCTTCAAGTTAAGATGGAAACAGGTATGATATGCATATGTGTATGTGTGGTGCTTGTTATGCTGTTAATTATGCATATGCTTTGGCAGTGATATCAGCAACTTTTGACCTGCTGTACTGTCAAGAATCTATATATGTATGTTAAGCAGCACAGATAATGTATATCAAATCTCGAGCATTTCGCAACTGCTCTCCAAAGTGACTGATCACACAGCGACCTTGTCCTTGCATGCTCTTATGCTAATGCATTGGAAGATGTTTAAGGGAATAGCATTCAATTTTCCATCAACATTGTAACTTTGTCAAAAGCTGACAACTCAGTCCCTTGAAATGGATTGTTCATTAGAAAAAGCCATCGTAATTAGATATCAAATAAATTGCCTGAATATTGATTTGGATTCCTATGAGCAGTGTAGAAATTTGTTATTTGACGTCAATTTAGATAAGGTGTTTTGCGCTGATAAATAACTTAACTTAGTAGGAATTTGATAAGATTCCAGTGATAGGTTGTTCTGGCATTGTGCATAATTCTTGGAATTAATACCCATATCAGTTTCCTAACTGTGACCAATAAGTATACACTTTTCTTTCAGTTTTATATGAAGTGGAGGTACCAGTAGTTTATTACAGTCAATAAATAAAGCCATGAGTTGGGAATGGTTCTTGAAAATCAAAATATATCTCTCTGGGTTTTTTTAACATAAAAGATATTGATAATAATGATAATAAAAAACATAAAGAGAAGTTTTTATGCCAGTTGTTCTAAATTTGTGTTTTAAATATATCTAACTTGGAAAGATTTCTAACTAGGAGACATAGAGAAATGATAGTGTAAAGCAATAATTCATTTCCAGTACATCACAACTGCCAAACAATTTTTGCCCAGGAAATGCATAAGGCACCTCAGGCAATTTGGTATGTTAAGTGTGTGCATTGAAAATAAATAGTTTAGATGATATATTATCCAACTTATGAGTGATTAATATTTCAGTTTTATAGCAACTATAATTTTTTGCTATGTCATATGATGTGAGGTGCTGGTAAGGTGCCAGCCCCTCATGTATGCCGTCTGTTGACATGGGTTAATTACGTAGCAGCAGAGCAGAAGTGAATCACTGAGTACACATCAGATAAGACCTGGGATTTGTTTAGGGACGAAAAAACCAGGTGATCCAAAAGTTCGATCTGGTTAAAAGAGTGCCATGGTGCATGTTCTCCTGATTAAACATCACGATTAGCAAAGCTTATCAACGAGGAACATTGAGTAGGTCACCGACAGCATGCGGAATAGCACGTCCACTTTTTAGAATGACTGAGGAAAAACCAGGTACACCTTTTACTTTTGACACACCACAGTCACTGGTTCTAACTGTGACAATGCCGCGTTCTTTTAAAGATCAGAGTGGCAGGATGCTACCCTATCTTTTGTTTCATGCTCTTCGCAGAACCAGGCTTTGTGGAGATCATGTAGACTGTGTTCTTGTATTCAGTATTGAGAATGTTCTTGGTGACATTCACTCAGGTACTAGTGCTGAGGAGTTTTCAACATTTTTTTTTAAATTTGAGCACAAATTTTGATTGATCTGTTCATAAACGTTTGCTGTGACATAGATTGGCTGTTGGTTTGTCCCCATCCAAGGTTTATCCAGCTAAAGTACAGGCATATGTATCAGAGGAATTTATAGAGAAAAAGTAGACAATATGGTGTAACTTCTATTGGTAACTAACTTCTATTGCTATCCAGGCTTGATAATCACTAATGCATGTTGAATCAGCTGTGCAGGTTCACTCAAAGACAAATCTTCTTTCCAATGAGGAAGTGTTCCATTTCAGCATTTGCAATTATGATTATGAAATTAAATATGAGAAATTGTCATAAGTAGACACTAATGGTTTTCATTTCTCTTCTACCATTTCAGCTAAAGCCACTAGTCTGCTAGCTCTCCTAGGCTTAGGACTGGGCTTAGGATTAGGCTCACTGTTGGTATACAAGCTATACTACCGGCTGTTTGTGTCTGGTGGAGACAAAACTAAGAGGAAAAGTTCAGATTCATCGAACTCCACGGAAACACGTCAAAACCAGGTAAGTTAGCAGCGCATTGCCAAATATATCTCTGTACGTGCTCGTCATACCTGCAGGCTGTGAATGTTTCAAAGATTACCTGATTAACTAACAGTTGATATTTTAGCTTAAAATCTCTGATGGTGCAATTGGATAATACTTGCCTCGCTTGACTGCTCTGGTAGACCAATTCTGCTAAATCAGTATGCCTTTTGGGCAAATAACAGTCTTGTATTAGTTATTTAGTTCATTAGTATTTTGATTGGAAAAAGCTTTGCACTGAGCAAAATAAATTGAGTGTGATAGGTGATTCATGATATTTTACTTTTATGAAGGGGAAATATTTATATTGTAACATTTTCACAATACAACAGGAGCTGTTTATGTTGTACATAGAAGAGGGCAACTGTGCTATTGATCATTTACATTGTATGTTACAGGAATTATACTGTATCTAATCTTCAGACATGATTGAAATCGATATATAATGTCCCAAGTACCAGAAGTTAATTTCTTTTTAATCTGGGATTTCCATTATAATGTTATATTTTGTTAATGAGATGTTAATAAAGTAAACATAAAGATAATAAGTCTTGTAATAGCCAGTCACTTTTTGTTCGTTGTATTGTCTGATTGTTTTTATGCAATGTTTTCATATCATGTAAAAATATCCTTTTACATCATACTCAATATACAGCTTTATTGAAAGCTTTTTGTAAACAGTGTTTTTAATGTCAATCTTTTGTGTGGTTGAATATTTGTTTTCATTTATTGATGTGTGCTCCCTTCTTTTAATTATTATTGATGTGTGCTTACCTCTCTCTTGCTCAGTTAATTCCTGTGATAGAAAGGGGTACATCAAAACAATTTATTTATAATCCATGATGCCAACTTTAAATTTGACTATATGGCTTATCATAGGGTTTGAGATTCATTTCAAGAATTCCTTAGTCATTTCATTTTCACAGATGCATAAGATATGCCATGCTGATTTCATAACGTCATTCAGCCTGCTTTATTTATTGCTTTATACACAAGCATGCACTTGCCTTCCTCTAACAGCATATGATCAATGTCTTGTGATTGACCTAAGATCCCTGTATTTTTTCCAGCCAAGTGATCAGGAGCCACATGACACAGGAGAATCAAACATGGGGAACAATGCCTCCGTGGACCCCGCCGCAGACCTGGCATATTTTGACAATACTCAGGGGAAGGTGAAGTTTCCCAGACATTATTATAACAACAGTGACTATGACTTAGTTCAACACACAACAGAGGACACGAGCTCTGATGACTCTGTTTCCATTCCATTCAATGCAGTATTATTGTCAGCAGATAAAGACACGGACAGTTCTTATGGATCATATGAAATGGTGCAGACCAAGGATGCTGAGGGGGATCATGCTGAGGGTGTGACAACCCAGGACCAAGTGCCAAACACAATTCACAAATCAAAAGATCCTTTGAATGATATATTGGACAGTGGAGAGTACGATTCATTATCTGACTTAATAGGGGCGGGTCCCAATCCTTGCAGTCCTACCAGACCAAACACTCTTGGCCTATTAGACATATCAAATGATTTTGATCAATATCATCACAGAAAGTCTCACCGCACTGAAGACACCACATCTATGATAGCCAATTTTAGCCCTGCCTCTTTATCAGAAAGGAATGGAATATTGGGTCACCAGGAAGTACTCACAACACCACTAGAAAATGAAAATGAAACTGAAACTACGGAGGTGTCTCAGGATTTTGAACTAGTTTCACTTCCAAGTGTACACATTTCAGCACAAAGTGAATCAACAGTTCCTACACATTCTGCTAAAAGCAGTATTACTGTACAGACTACTCTGACCCCACTCAGTCCTAGTACTGATTCTGAACCCATATCTCCAGGGGGAACACCTTTACGCGGAATTAGGAGACAGAGACACGATTCTAGAAGTAAAGGACATGTACACTTCAATGAGGAAATTCCAACAGATGAAAAGGATGTTGTAGCTAAAGTAGACCAACATACACTTACTGTAGAACAGCCTTCAGAGACTTCAGTATTGGCAAGTGATTCTTGGAGTGATTTAGAGGTTTTAACAAGACCAAGAGGTGGTAGTTTAAGATATCCTTCCTCTAAAAGTGCCATTGACTGTTCACAGAAAGACACTTCTGTTAAGCCAGAGGTATCTAGTTTTCCTAGAAACTTTAGTGTAGATATATCAGATCTTTCTAGTGTATCTGGGATTATCGACTTGCCTGAGAGTGAATTTTTCAGTGTTGAGCACGTTGGAGAACCCAGTGCTAAATCGTTTGAAGAAATTGAAAAAGAAATGGAAGATTTAAAAAAGGACATGGAAGAAATGGACTACAGTTTTTGTCAGCTATCTGGTGATAGGGAAGAGGGCTTTCTTAGAAGAGAGCCATCTAAACCTATGGCACTTGCTCTGGAATTTTTAACCAAGTTCAGGTCTAGACACATCAGGTATGGAAGCGTGCCTCTGGAAGAGAGGGAGTATGTGGAAGCAGATACAAAATCTCTCAGTGACACAACAAACTCTCCCAATCATGCAGCATTTCAGTGGGATAACATTTCATTTAAAGAAATAGACACAAGTGCTTTACAAACAGTGCGGAGGCTGTTACAGGAATCTCCATTGAATAAACCCAACAAATGCAGTGACCCAGAGTCAGCTGACTCCACAGTTGATGAGGTATTAGAAGTAGGTCAGGGTCATGCCAAGCTTGTCAATACAGGAGTTACATTTGGATTGAATGAGTTGGCATCAGACAGTGAACATGAAGACAGTGATATTGATACAGACTTCTTATTACATGGATCATCCTATGATGTAGACACAAGCAGAATGGAAGATCCTGCTTCTCTAATAACTCAGAGAGGTCATTTAAAAATCCAGACAGATGGCTGCAGCTCTGATAGTGACAGTGAGAAACGGGACCCTCAGAAAAATATCTCAGATGATGATGAAAATTGTGGTGAAAGATCTCATAGACTGGCTGACATTATAAACACACCTTGGGATAGTAATATGCATGACAGGAACAGACATTTTAGTAACCATGGCACCCTTCCTGATGAGAGTACAGATATTTTGTCATGTAGTCCTAATGCAAAAGACCAGGAAATACATACTGTAGAGCAAAATAATGATTTCGCTGAAAGCTTGCGTGGATCTAGGTGGTCAGGCCCCTTTAGTAGTCAAGGGACAGAGACTTTATGCAGTGAGGAAAACAGCACTGTTGAACAAACTGATGATAAACACCATAGCTCCATGGGGGCTGTAGGGACTTCCTTACAAGGTGAAGTTTACTTTATAAACAAGGTTCCTATGAAAATTACTTTAAAAAGGTCACCACTGTGAAATGTTGCTTTGAAAAAGGGCTTCTCATAATTGTAAGCTATCTATTTGATTTCTGCAGTCCTTTTATGACACTGCATAGTTGTGTAATCGGGTGTGGCAGTGTTTTTTTTTTCCACACAGCATAAAATGTTTATCATATGTTACTTGTATTTTGGAATAATTATGATAAATAGCTGCTCAGAAGTAGAAGTGTATTAATATGTATGTCAACTGTTACTATGACTTTAATTTCACTCAGTGATCTTGTAGAAAAGGAATAGAACTAGCAGCAGAAATATGTTGGTCCGTTTAGGACCAGTGACTGTATATTGGATAATTCAGACAAGAACCACTTTAGCCTGGCTATCAGACTAGCTAACTATAGACAATCTAACCTTTTACTATGGATCACATAAGTCTGTTTTCCAGTCTGTCTTAGCAGGCATTTTTATTTGATGCATGTGAATTTCTCAGAACTCTGCATAGTGAAAGGTTCATGTAATGCTATGAAATCACACGACTGTTGTTGATATTTCAGATGTCACAAATCAAATGGATAAGGTATCTAAAGTCAATATTGGTGCTAAACATGACATCATTACATATGCTGAACAGGAATGGAAAGGGACAACAAAAACAGCTGATGCAATGAAAAAGGTTGGTGATGTTTTTTAAAATAGAAAGTGCTTTGTTTTCTTAATGTTCACCATTATTTTGTTTAAAGTCTTACACATTGTACCACATAATATTACATAAAAAAGTTTTAAATTAAGACAGCATTTTAGGGTCCCATTAATGCCCCCATTTCTTGGTGTAACAGGAAGGGTGCTTTTTGAGATTCTGAATGCTTGATCCAATACAAGTTCTTAAAATGGTACTATATGTAAATGTTGATTTTTCCCCCAATCCCTGCAATTACCATATTCATATAATTCTACGTGGTCAGGAGTCATTTCCCTCAATTAAAAAGCAGTAAACAACCTTATCTTAATAGACATGCTATGTGCTTAAACAACATGTGGTATATCCATGTTTTGACAAGTAGGCATGCATCATATATATCCAGGCTTACCCTGCTGGTCTGCAGTGCAACTAGCAATGCACAAATAAGCATCCATGCTGTTAAATGGAACTGATATTCATAGATTTGTTTATATTCATATATTTTCAGGGCTATCATGCAATAGTTGAACAGCTTGGTTTTAAACACATGCGGTGTGTGCGTGGAGATAATTACTGCGCAATACGTGCTGCTCTCTACCAAGCTATTATCCATAAAGTCCCCATCTTAGAACATTTTGGGAAGCTAAAATCTCTTTCCAAGGTAGGATCCCTGATTGTGACCTAAAGTTGTATCCTATTAATGTCACAATATTGGTAATAAGATAATTTCAGAATGCAACAGCATTTATTCATTACTAATCTGTGGAATTATCCAATATAGCTGAATTGTAAGTTTTATTTTAAAATATGAAAATCTTCATTTTATTTTTATAATTTATTTATTCATATCATATCATAATAATAATAATAATATAATAATATTATAGTAATAATAATAATTCTTTATTGAACACTAAAATGTGTACAGCTTACATTTTACAGCCTCTTTTACAAAATACATATGACATGATATGAAAGCAAATTCAAACAAAGGTACTTACATAATTTAATTATGAAGTATAATTAGATTCTATTTTTATTGTAGGCACTAGAAAATGCTGCTGTAGAGACACACCCCTACATTGCAAAGAAGTGGACTTTCGCACACCGTCTTCCACATGTTAAAAACCAGGATGACTTCTTGCCTACTATGCACACTTGTGTACAGACATTTTTTAAACAGGTACATAACATGTATTATCATGCTTTATTTTATTAACATGGGAGTTTTATGAAATCACACTGTAAGGAATATTCAAGAATTTTGTTTCTGGCAAATTTTCTATAAAAATGATTTTTATTCAAACTTTGCTCCATCTTTCCTTTTCTGTTCTTTGAGACTTTTGCCCATACTCTATTCTCTTAACGCCTATAAAGCAAGATGCGCTCTTCTTTCTTTGTGTACCTCTCCATTAAATGAAAACAAAACATTAAGATCTTTTTTATTATAAAAGACATTAATATGTTTATTGTTTTACAAACATGATTTTTTTTCCTACAGGTGGAAGAATCACAAAATGGTGCCACAGAACTAGAAAGAGAGTCAAAACTTTTAAAAATTCTCAACGATGACGAAGATTGCTTCTCTGACATTTGTATGATGGAAGCCGTGAAGATTCTCATGATGTTGAAGGCCATTCAGCTGTATGGAGACTATCAGAATGGGGGAGGAGTGCCCACATTTGTGTGGCTAATGTTTGCCAGGGATACCTCAGAGACTCCAGAGGCATTTTTGACCAACCATTTAAACTGTGTTGGTGACAGTGCTGGATTGGAGCAGGTATGAGTGCTAAAACAAACTACAAGGGGCATTACTTGTCATACAAGACAAGAAAACCTGCGGGTGGGGTTAACGATTAAGTGCTAATGGTTAAATCCTATGTTCTAAGAATGTTGTCATAGAATGCAATATATTAAGTAACGCTCATAGAGTCATAACACAGTGAAGTAATGCCCTTTTGCTATAGATCGTTTTTTTCTACAGGAATTAAAAAAAAAACAACCTGAAAAATACCTGTTGTTAGGTTTAATTTGTTTTTGCACTGCACTTGCTAGTTTGCCATTATTTTTAAACACACTCTCCACCAAATTCCATGAAATCTCTCGATTTTACACACAGCCGTGAGACTAAGAGCTATCATAGGTGGTCCCCATAAGAATTTAATAATGGGCTATCACAACTGATGATTCGATTTGGAACAAATTTTGTATCCTTTTATATGAACATTTCTGAGAAAACATCACATCTTCAGTAAAGTTCACTTTTATGTTATTATCTTTTCTAATTTTTTCTTACATATTTCCAAGAACAAAAGTTAATTTAAAGGTGCATATAAAATGATTACTTATATCAAATTATTGTTGCTGAACCCAACCAGTGTTAGAAATTAACACTGGACCGTCTGCCTGTGGCTGACAACTTTCAGAACGGGCTGAGAAGTTTTCCCACCCACAGACATTCGAGCCAGCTACTTTTCAAGATGGCCAAACTTTTGGTCCAGCAACTAATTTTCCTAAGAGGCACACATTGAACCCAACCAAATGCCACCAGTTTCAAATAGTGTAACTGAAAGAAATACCCCATTTTTTCTGCTGCCCAAGAAATTAATTTCAGTTGGTTTATTTGGCATGTGGATATAATTTGTGTTTTATCGTGTGTATGGGAAACTGAAACTAATAAATTATATATGTTATAAGGGCATTTACATTCCCTTCAAATTTTTCTCCAAGAAAAGCTTATTAAAACTTTGCTATAATTTTATTACTTTGTATTTTTTTTAGATTGAAATGTTTCTCCTAGCCCACACCTTGGGTGTAACCATTCAGGTAGCAAGGCCTTCCAAACATGGTGCTGAAGATTTCATAACTTATTACCCAGATGACATGAGGGATCAGTTCCCCACTGTGACTGTGATAGCAGAGGATGACAGACACTACAATGTGGCATTATCATAGTCTTTATGTTGCCAAAAAAAGTGTTACTTTATGAGAAAAAATTTAAATGGAGTGCAGAAGTATCTGCACATCACAGAACTGCCAAGCATTAGGTGTTCACATCTTATAGGTTACAATTTCTCAGTTAATTTGTTTCTTGCATGAGTTTCTGCATATGATTGTCCTTTGTCAGTGGTATTTGAGATAAATGCCCCCAACTTTTTGTTATACTTCAGATTAGACTTCAGCAGGACTGAAGTGTTAGTTTTAATAATTTGATTTTGTTAAGATTACATTCCATTCCTTTTTGGTGCTCTATTTATTTTGTACAGAATTTGCTCAATTGTCATCTTTTTGTCAGAATCTGAAAAAAAGCTAAGCAGTTTTGTGTTTTGTGCTTTTTTGTCGCAAAGAGACAGCACTTACTCTTTGACTTGTGCTGTTACAGTTAAGATTATTAAAAGATGATCAATAATTGTCAAATGACAAATTATCTTTAAGTGCAGTATTTCACACCAGGTAACATTCACTGGAAATTATATGTAGGTCTAGACCAAAAAACTATTAAAATTTACAAGTGAAAGATTTGTACCTGTTATGAGATAGTTGATGAAAAGAAATATAATGTGGTGTTCTTACCTTTACCAAAATAAAATATAAGTAAAAGGCATAACTTTGTTTATTCTTGTAAATTTAAAGCAGTCTGAGAAACTAGGGATGAAGAGAGATTTACTTTTTACAACTTTAATTCTGAACGTCATCAAAAGAGTTGAATGAGATTTGGAGAAAAGAGAAAAAAATTTTGATGAATGTAAATTTTAAATTTACAAATTAATTTCTAAAAACTGTAGAGAAGTCAGAATTGTAGTGCACTTATTATTTTTTTATTTCTTCCTAGTACTCTAGTATGCGAGCTTTTGTAAATATCTTTGTTTTAAAAATAAAGAATTTATAAAAGCTGTGGTTTAATGTGTGAATTAAATGTCCAAGAAACTATTTTTTCCTTAAAGACAGTACATGAAGTAATCGAATGTTCTTTCAGTTCGTATAGTTGTGCTTTTATAAGGCAGTCAATATGTACTGCAAACCATAAACTGTGTTACACACCTAGGTCAAAGTGCAAAGAAACCATCTTTTTTGGTAGAGGTATACAAACTGAACGTACTTTCAGTTCAGGGGTCAATACTGCTTTTCTTTGCAGTTTTGAAGTTCGATCAAATAATTCAAACTGCCAGTCTGCATATTTGAAGTTCACAGTTTCAATCATTGAAAATGTCTCCTTATTTCCTTCATATCCTCCTCTTCTGTGCTATCTTGGAAATGGATTCCTCCTATTTTTCAAAGATGTAAGAAAATCTGTTTTTACTTTCATTTCTTTCCTTATTATTGTTGATTTTACTGCTTGTACTTTTCTTGCCTTGGCAATATATGGCTTCATGCTGTGCTTTTGCTTCTGGAGGTCCCTTTCTATTCCATCTACCACAAGTATTCTAGGAGAAAGATTGAGAAAATAGTAATAATCACAGGTTTGCCTAGCATATAATTAACCCATTAACATCCAACAAAAGGGTTGATATTGCGCAGTCTTTATATTGAGACAAATGGTACAACAGATTCAAACTATCAGACAGCATCTAGAAGTGTAATGAAAACCAAAAATGACCAATTTTTTCATCTTTCATCTACCATCGTGGTTGACAATGCACCATAAAATGTATGCCCAAATTCCATCTTTTCTTAATTTTAAACGATTCAGTCTTTCCCCTTTCTGGATTATATGCTGTTGAACAAAGTGTTAAACAGGCGTTGTTTACATCAGGTATTGGTTGAAGATGGAGATTAAATGTTACCTAAAATATATGTACTAAGAATGCAAAAGTTAAAATTACTGTAAGGCGACAATAAAGCACGCTCACTTGATAATACAACAACCAAAACTTTATGATATTTAGATCAGTTGAAAGCAAAGCTGTTGACTTACTTCCTTAACTTCATAAACCCTTGCTCTACTTTCCCAGGTTCACATAAAACCGTTCTTGCTATAAACTTAGCGTGCCGACTCATATCTACCTGCCTTCCTTTCCCTGCTCGGGTCTCAAATCTACCGGAAAACAGTACGTCGTAATAGAGTATTTACTAATTTTCACGGTATTTCCCATTTGTATTAATGATATTATGTGTGTTAATTAGTTTAAATCCCAATCAGGAAACATTAACAGTACTTTTTTTTCAAAAAAAATAAGAAATCATTCATTTTTATTATGTTGATTAAACTTTTAACGTGTGTAGGTACTATAGGGGATTTTGCGCCGTGCTTTGGGTCTTTTCACAAGTTGGTTACAATAAAAGCACAGCCGCTGTTACAAGTATCCCCCTTACGGAAATTGGTTATCAAGTATAACATTTTATATGCAGGTAAGGAAAGTTTATGTTGATTTATCAAATTTTCAAAATAAACTCACCACATTTGAAAAAATAAGCGGCAATGATAGAGCAACAAAGGCAAAGCCTTGCTTTCGTTTTTTGAATAAACTTAAATTAAAGTGACTAAGGCGGTATATATGCTTTAATACAACATTGCGTACACGGTTTATGTTCGAATTTTGTATCATATTAATGTTCTATATCACACAAACACTATCTCTTTCAGTCCCTATCAAGTATGAAGTAAATATTCTTACTGATTTCAACATTTGGTTTTACCCTTTCAGATGTTTTGAGACATGTCAGGATTTTCGTTAGGTGGTGGTGGCGGAGCATCAGGCACTGGTGGTTTCAGTTTTGGCACTCCTAAGACAACTGCCACAACTGGAGTGTCATTTAATCTGAATGCAACTACCCAAAGCACTAGTACAGGGTTTGGATTTGGTAATTATTTGGAAATACCAGAGATGATTTTATGTATTTTATGCTCATAACGTAAACTCATGCCATTTGTATTAAAATAGAGGCAAACCTAGGCATACGGCTCTCTAACCTCAAATGATATTTGTAAACCACTCAATTTTCATAATAAAATTTTTCTTTCAACAGTTTAGTAGTTTTGAAAATGGAGAGAAGTCTGTCAAAATACTCCTTTGATTAAGCATGAGTTTTAAATAACTGTTGATACAGTATTTCACATTTTCTGAAAAAATGATAAAATTTATCATTTTATCTAAATGTTTTAACATTGAATGACTGCAAACACTGGGCCTAAGATCATATGTCAAAAAATTCAATTGTATAATTAAAATTGAGTAAATATTGCCAGTTTTAACATATTCATTTTTATCAGCTGTAAACTTGTCATTCTCATGTGGGACTTCATATCTAGTAATACTAGTAGTATGCAATTGTAATTTGAAGGGAGGCAGGCTTAAATCAAACCAAAGGAAATCAATTTTTCAGGGTCTACCACTGCAACAAGTGGCCAACAACCAGCATCAGGTGGCTTTTCATTTGGGACAACACAACAGTCCACAGCTCCTGCTGGCGCTGGAGGTGGCGGGTTCACATTTGGACAGCCTGGTGCTACATTAGGCAGTGCCACGGCTCAGGCAACTGGGTTAGGTGGTTTGGGGCAAAGTGTGACTACAACTGCAGCTGTTCCACAGTCAGGAGGCTTCTCATTTGGTCAGTCTGCTGCACAGACAGGTATAATATGTTTGCTCTTTGTACATACACATAGTGATTTATGTTAATGGAAACTTTATCTATTCAACTTCATAACTATTATGTTCGTATCTTAATTTGATTTTATATTCCATTATTTATCTTAAAGTTGTGGTTATTGATTCCACATTTTAAAATAAAATATTAATAATTATTAAAATATTTTATTTTCATAGCTGCCAAACCTACAGCCTCACTGGCAAGTACTTTGACGAGCACCCCTGCAGGTGGACTGAAATTTGGTGAGTGAATTTAAGCAACCAGCAGTTACATTTTCTTATTAGATGCATGATTCAAATTAATTTTGGATGAACAGGGGTCAAAACAGACGGTCGCCCACTCGCCAATGCGACTTAGAAACGTCCCGGGCGACTACCTGTCAGGGGTACTGGTCCGTTTTGGCGACCGCTGAAAAGTGCCGAACATCGTTGCCAAACCCACAGTCTGCGACGTTAAGCACTAGCCCGAGGCAATTGCCCACCTATAGTGGCACCGGGCTAGTAAAAAAGACGAAATTTTATAAAGCACTAGCTGTAATTTTGAACCTATTTTAACACTCAGTAAGATTTCAAAAATATGAGTCGCCAGTCTTCTTTGTCCCTGCCTCTTANCATACAGGGGTCGAAACAGACGGTCGCCCACTCGCCAGTGCGACTTAGAAACGTCCCGGGCGACTATCTGTCAGGGGTACTGGTCCGTTTTGGCGACCACTGAAAAGTGCCGAACATCGTTGCCAAACCCACAGTCTCCGACGTTAAGCACTAGCCCTAGGCAATTGCCCACCTAAAGTGGCACCGGGCTAGTTGTAATTTTGAACTTATTTTAACACTCAGTAAGATTTCAAAAATATGAGTCGCCAGTCTTCTTTGTCCCTGCCTCTAATTTGACGTTTCTAGAAAGTATGATATGCCTCTCAGTTGAAAAAACTCACACCTAGCTCAAACTACTGAATATTGATTAGTTGCTATAAATAACTTCACTGTAGCTATTAATAGTAGCAGTCTGTCTGATCAGCGTGTCGGCATCTTTTTATTTGACCAGTTTGTTGTCATGACTACAAATTGCTGTCAATCAAGAAACTGGATCAGACCGGAATTCTTTGGTACTAGCAACAGGTTTTGTCAAAACAACACTGTCTCCGAAGCAAGTGTAATGTATGCATTATCTCATAGAACATTTAGGTTAGGACCACTTAGCAGACTGAGGGGTGGAGTATTCTATTTCCTTTTTTGTTTATATTTTTTATTTATAATTTTAATATCCATGAGTAAATACATGGCAGTTACATAAATACCCTATGAACTATTCTTGACACTGTTGGATAGTTCGGTTTATGCCATGGCTACCCCTCCACACTTTGTCCTGGTAAAGTCCTTGAAAAGTTGTTTTTACAAATATATAACCAAAAGAATTGTTACCAAAAAAATTGTAAGACATTTGTTTAATTACCCTTACAGCACCAATGTATTTTAAATTAGAAGTGGCATTATATACCGATGTAATTGGAAATAAATTGTCAGAAAAGAGCCATTGTCAATAAAAAGAATAAGAATTTAAAAAAAAAAAAGATTTTGATTGCATATAAAAATGGGAAAAAAAAAGATATAATAAAAATATGAAAAGTAAGGGTAACTATATTCAGTATTATAAATAAAAAAAAAAAATTAAATATTTTTAATTAATTTTACCACCCCATCAACTGGAAATTAACCTGATTGACTTTGTTATTCACTTGCTCTACTTCTATAATAAGGTTTATAAGAAAGTACAGTATGGTACCACAACTCTTTACAACACCTGCTTAAACTTTTTAAATGAATTATTTAAATTGGGCTAGTGTTTTTTGGTTTGGGCTAGTAAAGTTTGAGAGAAGTTTTTTTTTTTTTGTTTTGCGTTCAACCCCGGCAATTAAAATTAAATTAAATTTTTAAGATTAAAATATGGATATATGTAAAAGTTATACTTCATAATAATTTTTTATATATCCATTTTATTTTTTATATATTATGATAATGATGAGCTAGCAGAGGAGGATGTGTACAAACAGTTAAAGGATCTGACTGGAATATGAATGTGTTAAGATAATCATTTAGAAATAAAAATGGATGTTAAACATGTATGCGTTTTTGTTATATACCGGTATCTGGTAGCTTGAAACTACTAATTTTCAACGTAAAATTTTACGGACCAGTACTTCTTGGTACGGACCAGTACCTCTAAGATCCACTGGTCCGTATTGGCCAGTCCTGCCCAAATTCTGTTTTGACCCCTGCATATATTGGAATGTAATGGTCATTCATGACTTATTATAAGCTTACTAGTAAAGAGTACATATACGTAATTAATACTTAAGTTAATGATATATGTCAGTGCATTACTTTCCCAGAATTACTGATATTCTAATTATAACAAGAAATCTGGCATGTCTATCAACGCAACTCAATGACTGTTATTTAAGACTCAGTGTAATACTTTATCCAGGATTATCAGTATCCTCATAATAACTTGAAATCAATGAGTTTAGACAAAGTGGTCCAAACTTGGTTTTAAGTGATGCAATCACAGCTCTTAAAGAAATGTTTTGATTGATTTTTATTAACTGACTATCTTGAAAAACCATAATCATAATGGTCTTATTTATTTGTCAGAAATGGAAATGTCCCCTAGATATATTTGCTCTGTATATAAGTGTTGATCATGGTTGTTAAGAAAAGTACAAAATGTAAGTCAAAAGGACAAAAAAAAACAACCTTGTATATTAATTGTAGTATTATTATTATTTCCCATATTTATCTTCTCCAGGAGATGACTTTGCAGTTATCCAGCAGGAGATAGTGATGATGAAAGAATGTAAACATCCCAATATAGTGGCATATTGGGGAAGTTACCTGAGGTAAGAATCTTATTTTCAAAATTCCAGATAATAATTTTTTAGCTGTGAAATCTTTCAAAGATGGGTACATAACCTCAAAATATTAATGTACGTACACGATGCTGTCTGTACATATGGCTATCACCTGTGTCTGTCTTTGTCATGGGAGTTAAAAGAGAGATGTGCACCTTTCTTGTTAACACAGTAACTGGATAGCAGTATCTCCCTCACATCTTTAAATTGTCAGGGATGATTAAGTGTTAAAGACTGGATTGTCAGAGTCCCATCATTTATATGTTGCTGTATTGTTTTGTCAGTCTTCATGTTTAAACTTGTTGTCTGTATATATGTCAACTTTAAGCTGGCTTGGATTTATTACATCTGGAATTTTAACTGTTACTTGGATTGGGGTTTTTGGGTTCTAGTAGGTTCATAATAGAGATATTGATTGAATATTATGGAAGCAGATGTGCCTGGAAGAAGGAAGTAGTCCTCATTTAATGCCCTGAACAGGTTTCCTCCTTATCATTCCACATGACTATGACAGCCTGTCCTATGTATGAGTTATGGCTTGTTTTTCAGTATAGGTAGTGCAGTAATTTATCATCTTTGATCAAAGTATGGAGATATTCTTCTCATGCTCTGCTGGACCGTTGTTTATTTGTTTCAACAACTAGGGCCTTAAGTGCTATGTAGTCACCTTAAAACAAATTGCAATGCACCAAGTTGACTGACAACAAGATACGAGGTGTGTATGTGAAGTCATTGGTCAGAATATGCAATGCCCCTTATCCCATCTAGATCTTGTTTTTGCTGTGTTAAAAAAAACAGTACTTTAAGCTTCAGGCACCAGAATTAGGAAATTATGTAGTCTACCCAACTGCTACACATAGTTAAGAGATATGATATGAGAGTTTTATCATAAATCTTTTTATGTTTGCTGTGTTGTGTATTATAGGAGAGACAAGCTATGGATATGTATGGAATACTGTGGAGGAGGGTCCATGCAAGATATATATCATGGTAAGATTTATGACATTTCTCAGAGATATTTATACTTGAACAGCATTTCTCCATTGAAAGTAAAAATAAAAAAAGGAAAGAATAGGGAAACATAACACTAGTAAAATCTATGATACAGAAGTAGACATGATAGAAATTGCATCTTTAAAGAAAGAAGAAGAAAATTGTTTTTATACTTTTACATATTAAGATTGTAGAAACATTGCTGGATTTGTGGCTATACTTCAGAAATAATGTATGTGGACGACAATTTATTTACTGAATTGTCTTATTTTCAGTTACTGGTCCCCTGAATGAGTCCCAGATAGCCTTTGTGTGCAGGGAAACTCTGAAAGGGTTACACTATTTACACAATCGAGGAAAAATGCATAGAGACATCAAGGTAACCTGATAAGATTACTGAGAATCCCCTCTTAACACTTAACAAATTAGCTTGAAACTCTTGTTAAATGTTTGTTCCTGATGAAGGATGTGTATTTTGAACCACCTGATTGATTTTTGTTGTAGGAGATATGAAAGCAATACTCTGTTTTTACATTATTTATAAAACTTATGATATCAAACTTGAAGCAGGGTTTATAGGCTGGTTTGTGTGCTATCAATTACAATCATCTTTTATCAAAACCTTGATATTGGATCTGGTCTTTATTTTGTAAAGGTTATCTGATCAAGAAGTAGGATTACCAATGCCTTTATATTACTTACCTCAGATCATGTTTCTTGTATTTCAATAGATGCTTTTGTAAAGGAATTACCATACACTGGCTGTACCTAACTTATATTAGATTATGTATCTTTATTATTATGTTATTATTGATAAGTTATTTATGTCCAAGAGTCCAGAATTGTCTACAAAGAAAACAGATATTCTTTATATTTTCTTGCTCTCACAAATATAGCTTTATTTTTGTTATTTTATTTTCTCATTACCCAGAAAACACGTTGATGACATAATTCTTTTGTCCTTGTAGGGTGCTAATATTCTGTTGGATGATGATGGAGATGTGAAGCTAGGTAAGGACGTGTTATTAGTGGTATTTGCCTGATTTATACTTCATCCGTACAGTATTATTAGTGACAATCATAAATGAAGAAATGATGATAAAAAAACTTGGAGATATTATACTTTATATCTTAGTTATGATAACCAAGCCTTGCATTTCCACTGTGGCTGTTAAGGCTTTTGTAATAGGCTTTTGCTGTATGAGATTTTTTTAAAATACCACTTGGGTTAGTCATATTTAAACATGCTAGTATCCTGATTTTGTCATCAGAACTAAATGTTATGATATGGTTTTATAATCTATGCCTATACTGATATGACAAACTGTATGGTTACACCTCTTCAAACTGTATGGTTACACCTCTTCATTGAATGAAGCCAAAGCCTAGTATGTTCCTATGCAAGTTTGATTAGATTATCGTATTGGCTACAAATAGCTGCCTTGATTGCATATTGATTTACTGGTATGGGATGATTTATATCTTAATATTAATGGTTTTTTCCTGTGCATGAATAACTCTATGACATACACATAATTTAATCATTGTGCATTTTATGAGGTTGCATAAAATCATTAATTACTTCTTTTTGCACAAATGTTTTTGCATGTATGACATGTATGTGTCACTGTATTTTTATGCATTTCTGCATGTATGTTTCTTTGTACATAAGTTTCTGTGAACATGCCAGTTTATACACATATTTATGTGCATGTGTTACCAAGTTCATATTTTAATGAATTCAATATAGGTCCCTCTGTGCCTTAATATGATTTACCTTTGCTGGTTCTTTCAGCTGATTTTGGCGTGTCTGCACAAATCACAGCCACAATCTCCAAAAGAAAATCTTTCATAGGCACCCCATATTGGTAAGTTATGTAATTGGAAGAATTGAGCCAGATCTTAATATTCTTAAAATAGAAAGTATTTTTGTATAAAGACATAATTTATTGTTTTTATAAGGTCCACATCAGTGCCCATGTACATTATTTTGAATCTATTTACTTATTTGTTATGTTATTTTTGAAACATATTATCTGTAACATCTTCATAATCCAGCACAAAACATTAAAAAATTGTACAGATAAGAAATGCCTGTTCAGTGACCTTCTGTATATAGTATGTATTTTTGTATAAAGACATAATTTATTGTTTTTATAAGGTCCACATCAGTGCCCATGTACATTATTTTGAATCTATTTACTTATTTGTTATGTTATTTTTGAAACATATTATCTGTAACATCTTCATAATCCAGCACAAAAACATTAAAAAATTGTACAGATAAGAAATGCCTGTTCAGTGACCTTCTGGTTTTATTGCGCAGTCGGCAGGTAACCAAGATTTCTAGGAAATTGGAAACGACAACAATCTTGAGGCTGTTATCTTATCCACTGACAGTGAAATGATGATTATTTAACAGCTTTTTCTAAGAAAAAAATTGCTGCTATTAAAAGACAAAATTGCAATTCACATCCACTTCTTCTAACAAAAGACAAAAGATAAAGACATTTTATGTATGGAAATTGAACAGACTGTTAATTGATTGTTTTCTGATTAAGGTCGAAGAATTGGTCTTCTGCACTTGTCTTTGTGTAATAAGTGATTAATTCAAATGGAAATGAAGTAAGGGTTATGTACTTTTATTTCTCTTCCAGGATGGCACCAGAGGTGGCAGCCGTGGAGAGGAAGGGGGGCTACAACCAACAGTGTGATATTTGGGCAGTAGGGATTACAGGGATCGAATTTGCTGAGCTTCAGCCACCCATGTTTGATTTGCATCCTATGAGAGCTCTGTATCTCATGTCCAAAAGTGGCTTCAAATCACCCACATTGAAAGATAAAAATAAATGGTATGAAAACACTAAACATTGATTTAAATGTCAGGTATTTAATATGATTGTTTATGTTCTTAGTCAGAGTATTAAATATAGATTTAGATTTTTAGATTTTATCAGGATCAATAATTTTTCATTAGTGGTTAATAAAAGCAAAAAAATACTAAGTGTCACTTCCTTAGGTGAAGCACACAAAGAGCATGGTCTAATTCCATTTCCTTTACTGATACTAGAATTAATATACCCACTGTGTTTTACAGGTCTCCCACATTTCAACACTTTATAAAAGTGTCTCTTACAAAAAATCCCAAGAAAAGACCCTCAGCTGGAGAGCTTTTACAGGTAAAACTCAGCACTGGTATAGCTAGTGGTTAATTCATTTTAAAGATATAATATTGCAGTAGACTTTATAAGATGACATATTGTTTGAATTGCTGCACATATTTTTGTGAATATGGTTTCCACTCATGATATCATTGGTATGAAAATCAAGCAGTGTCTATTAATGTATATTAAACTTTAAAACTTTTACTAACAAAGTTTTGTGAATTCCCATATAGCTTTTGTTTGCTGAAATGAACATGAATTCGAAACAAAAAGAAGCAGAAAAATAAGACTATTGGCTATCCTGTTTCAGCATCCTTTCCTCCAAGGGGATTTGACCAAGAGGTTATCCAAGGAGTTATTACACAAGTTCCACAATCCAGCTAATGCAATCTACCAGGACCCAGCATTAGATGCTGATGAGGAGGTGGGTATTTTCCTCTTGTCTCTGAGTGCCTTGTGTCTTCTTTATTAATGTTAATTTTTATGACTTTTGTTGAAGTATTGAAGTATGTTCAAATAGAGCTGTGTCATAATCTTAATAGTTATTTAGTCAGAATTGAAGTAAATACTGAAATAATGAATGTTTAGTTGTAATTACTTAAGCTTGAAGAATTTGAACATTACATACGAGCTCGAGTTAGAAGTTAGATTATATCATTTCATGTACAAAATAATGTATCAATTCATGTCCACAGTTTCTATTAGTAATTTTTTATACCAAATGAGAAAAGCTCTGTCTAATTATAGTTTTCTGTTTCAGATGTCATTGGATGTTCCCAGACGGATTTCATCAAAGAATGACAAGGACAGGGAGAGAGCCAAGTCCCAGTCGGAGACTGACAGTGAGTACATATGCTGCCTTGAAATACTGCTGAAAAAGTTTTGTTTCCCCACAACTTAGAATTTGACTGTATTTTGACCACATTCTTTTTTGCCACTATTGAATGGTTCTCTGATGATTATTAGGAGTTTATTCTGAGTTTATATGGAATGAATAGAGCAGAGTGAAATTAAACCACATATTTTTAATTCTGCAGTTGGCAACTTGAACTTAGAAGCACCCCTAGTGACGGATATAAAAGAAGACCAGGTAAGCTTGTTAAAAGAATTCACTTGAAAATTGCAAGAAATGATCACATCATTGTGGTGCCAGAATATAAATAATTGGGTCACGGTAAATGTTATGTTCAGGGAAGGGTGTGTTTTCACATTTGAAAAATCTTTTTGCATGCATCTTTTTAATAAGGTAAATGCTATATATATATATATATATTAATTGTATGGAACATAAATGTTGGGTCTCTTACTATCTCCCTTAAGACAGACATATGGCCAAACACATGCAGTATAAATGCAAAATAAAAAAACATATTATCTCAACTTATCTGTGTAGTTCATGTAGTTCATATAGTTCATTTGAAATTTCATAACATTTTGTTATCTGTGTCCGGAGCTGGTTACCATACCTCTAACATTTGTCGTCCCTGGTATGTTTAACTCCCCCAACCCCACCCTGTAACATTAACTGGTTTAGTCTTAGGGGTGTGGTGTGTATCTTGTAGGGTGCGTCTGGGTATGAGGTGGTGGAATCCTGGGGGTTACAGCCAGAAGACAGACAATCTGAACCTGTAGATGGAGAGGAAGAGGAACAAGTATGTGGCGTGAGCTTGTATTAACAGAAAGAAGAAGGGGTGTTGTTAATGAACACACTTCGAAAGTGAAAATAGTTTAACAGAGCTCATCAGTTGCGTCATGTTGCATTTCTCAGAAGGTCTTTGATGTTTAAATTCCATGTTGAGCTATCCTATCATCTGGTGAGTGATCTCATCAACTTTTTAAATTACAATACATTTAGTTCCGTTTTATAAGATCATTTCTTCTTTTCCAGGGAGAAATAGAAGACTGGAGAGATGAAGATAAGTAAGTATGAACTCATGCCACTCATAAGAGGCAGGAATGCACCTCTTGCTAGAGCCCCCCCCCCCCCCCCCCCCCCAAAAAAAAAAAAAAAAAAAAAAGATGAAAGAAACATAAAAACTCCTTTATTTGACTGTGTATCCAAATTGATTATATTACATTCAAGACCATTGTCATAATGCATGGATAGATTTCAGTTGTTTATTATGCAAATGAAAATGATGGGAGTCATAGCTGATGCATTTTAAAGGCATGAAGTTATCTTCTCCAGCTTCCGTAGAGTCTTTGCTATACTTGGGAGTACTGTTGTTGTAACGTTATCATGCTGTTCTTTGTGTTGAGTATGATACAGGACATAATGAATATCATATTTTAGATTTAAAGATATTCCCATAACTGTGAAGACGTTTTCAGGTAGTTCTGTTAACTTTGCACAATATAATGTACAAAAGTGCAAAATCATATATTTAAGATAACCTGAAACCATAGGAAACTTGATGTTTGCTCTGAATTCTTGATCTAAGTACAGTATTTTTACTGGTGATGTCTTATTATGTGGTTTGGGAATTTCTGTATAGCCATACACATTATTAAAACCATGATTTTTAGATATTGTGCAAACTTAATCAGACTACCTAGCCTAAGTCATGCAGGAACCCACCTTTCAATTAAAAGAAGTAGAAATATTCTGGCCTTGCTTGATTGATTGTGTAAAAAGTAACTTGTATTGTTTCATTGTTGTTAACTCTTAAGTTTGGTGTTATTCCTTTTGACAGCTCTCTGTTAGCAAGTGTCAATGAGGAATTACTCCAAAGGTAATGCCTGGACTTTCTGTTTACTATCTCTCTCTGCTTCATCTCTCTGACCTTACTATTGGGGAACAGTGGTCTTTGTGGCGTCACGTATTAAGATGATAGTTCACTTACATTTTATTTTCTTTCATGTTAATCTAAATTAAATATTTGAACTATTTTGATTCGGTTTTATTTGATTATCTGTGGTATTTTTTTTTTAAATCAATTTTATGTATATAACTGAATAACTATATAACTGTTCATCTGTCATTTTGTGCATAGTAAGGTCAGTTTTGTTCTGAAACAAATTTTTTCAATGGTTTGGTATCTAAATGCTTGCACATTGTGAATCTAATTCTACTAATTCAGGAAGTTAGCATTGTGCTTTAGATATTGTTGTGGTTGGCATCATTTGCAAGTTAATTGATTCTTAATGTCCTCATTCTTGTGTGTTATCATGTTCACTCTCATATAAAAAATGTCATTTTCCTAATTCTTTTAATTGCTCATTATTGTTGATGCAAATTTTGCGAGATTGTTACTGTCTTATAAACAAGTCAGTCACATGAATAAGGATGAAATGACATGTATGCAGTTGTCTAAATTAAAATTGTTTTAGCATTTTGTCAAGGATGCAGAATTTACCTTTCTTAGATATTGTTATGTTTATTTATTTCTGTAATAACTTATGGGGCTGCCTTCAGGGGAAACTCCTTTTACTATAGGTGTTCCTGTTTTGAAATTATTAGATATATTATAAGATGGTCTCATTAATTTGAACAAGGTTTTTTTTAAGAAGAGCCCCTGGTCTAGATGCATGTCAAATGGTGGTGGTCAAAGAAAAACATCTTTCATGTCATTATCTTGTAAATGCTGATATTTCCTATAATGAGGTTGACATGACACCAGGAAAGCTCCTCTGAGCAAAAGATGCCTGCTTTTGTTGTTGCACAGTGCACAGATACATGCATGCTTGCATACACTAACACATGCCTTTGTGTACAGAAACATGAATGCTTGCGTACACTCACACATGCCTTTGTGCACAGATACTTGTATGCTTGCGTACACTCACACATGCATTTATGCACAGATTTATGTTGGCATACACTCATACATGCCTTTATGCACCATACAGAGAACATGGCAAGTTTGTCACTGAAAGTTTTTGACACAAGAGGAGTGCATGAATTAATGAAAATTTTAAAACTGGGATCACTATGACATTTTTTTTATTTTATCAGTTGATTTTTTTTTCATAGTCAATCAGTAGAAAATTTTCATTTTTAGACACAATTGGTTGCTATATTATCAACATTTGATAAAGATTTTACATGCAAGTATCAACTTAAAATAAGTTGTAATTTGATGATATTGCCAAATGGAGTTTATTAAGTCCACTGAGTTGTGCTGCTTTTTCAGACTAAACGATCACTATCACACTTAGAAGGTTGCCTAACTGCTTTTCTAACAGTTGTCATTAATAATAAACAAGACTGCCAGACTACTGAAACTTTCTAGTGTAGTATTTGCTGGTCTGAAATAGAGAGTTTTCTAAATACCTACTAATATTTGCTTCATGTTATGTTATCTGTAGATGTAATTGGTAAACCTTCTTTGGATTTCTATTTCATTTTACAAATATCTGTAAACATTTGATGCCGAGATGCTCACAACAAACCACAAAATACTTAGTCAACACAGAAATTTTAGAATTTTTTTAAAAGTCTTATTTAAAATTGGTCTATCATGAAAAAATTGATGCTGTTGAAGACAATTTATTGTTATTTTGGAACTTGAATCTTGATGCATTTATGCAATCTTAACTTTCCTTTAAAGTTGTCTTTATTACTGTAACATGCATTGTCTTTGTCCACTAGGGGGCATCGCAGTAGCTTGATCTCGCCAGACGAAGATTTTGACAATTCTGAATACACACAGCAGTAAGCAGTTCCTTGGACTTATTTTTTTCTTTTCTAAAAGTGTTGTATTTGGTTATGTTGGTCATCTGTATTATGGTTTTGTTGGTCACCCGTGTTAGAATTTTGGTATTTGGTCAAGATCTTTTATGATGTGTTTTTATGTGAGGCTTTACATGCTTTTCAAAGCACTAAAAACTAATACTAGATCAGCACCTCCAAATTTGTGCTTTATTACCCTGTGTCTGTTGATGTTCATTTGCAGTATCATCTCATCTCCTTACCCATGCTGTGTTGACCTTTGTTAATGTAATGTTTGCTGTTACGTCTTTAAAAAGCTATGCTTTCATTTTCCCCCAGTTGGATGTAGCTTAGACCTAAAAATTCTGAAATAATGCTATTGAAAAATGGTCAATTTGTCTTTGTGATATGTGATCTATTTCCTCTTTGCAAAGTCCAGGCATTCCTCTCAAGCATGTGTGTAGTATTTTTTGTCAACCGCAAGTTTTTTTATTGCTATTTGATAGTCAGTCTTTATCCTTGTAGTAGTAGGGACATTGTACCTTACCAAATCCACGATGTCCTAGTTGAAAATATACACTGCTTCTTTGTGTAGAGTATGTTCACCATATTTTAGAAATAGGAATTGAATATTTAATTGACTATTATTTCAGGGAGACATTGCCCATGGGAGCACCACCAGTGCCACCTAGGGTGAGTGGGAGTTTCTTTGTCTATCAGGAATATCAAATAGCAGATTGAGAATTAACCAATTGGTACATCTAGGTGTCTCAAGCTGTATCAATTTCATGCTTGTTTTGCTGTAAATCACCCATTTTGTATCTCATAATAACACATCTTATTTCAACACGCCGATATATAACATACATGCCAATTATAGTTACACAGAATTTATTTATAGAAAAATATATATAGGTTTTTCCTTTCAAATTGGCTCTATCAGGAAAGTTTTTTTAAGACTTGATTTGACAAAAGATCTTAAAAGTTGCTTATATAGCTTGAGTGGCATTTAGTTTTA